ACACACACACACACACACACACACACACACACACACACACACACACACACACACACACACACACACACACACACACACACACACACACACACACACACACACACACACACACGCAGACGCACACACACACACACACACACACACACCTTCACTGAGATGTTTCCATTCACTACCACCTCAGATGATTTAAGAATTTTACAAAAAAAAAAAAAAAACAGGTTTTGGTGAGCAAAGAGCAGCTATGGTGTGTTCTTTATGCTGAACACAAAGTTCAAATTTGACTTTATTAAGTTTAAAATGAATTAATTGATTAATTGAACATTGGTGAGGACATGAGGTGGCTGTACTGAACACATGATTCAGTTCTTTTTTATATAATAAGCAACAAATAAGTGGAATTAGCAATAATAAGGGCAGCTGTTTGGTTTTTTATGTAATATTGTTGTCAAATGAAGCAAATGTTACTGGTGATTTCTTTAAAATTCAAACAATAATAAAAAATAAAAATAAAGGCCACTACTGCTTACTGTTAGACTCAGAAATCCCTAATCAGAAAAATCACTGTCATGCCACTTTAATTGGGACGGGCACTTTATCTGTACTGCTGATCTATGCTGCTGATTTGCTTACTGGGACTGCTCACTGGTTGCTTTTAACGCAAGCAAAAAAGAAGTCCAATGTCCAAAACGATTTTCTTTGATGGTTGTTTTAAACTAATTCACCAAGCAACAAACATTTTTTGTGTTTCCTGCTTCTTCTTTTTGTTCTGATAAAAACAACAAAAAAAACAACAACATAGATCCACCCCATTGCATGCTGGTCCTACACCTGCTCACCTATTTATGGGGTCCTATGGTTTTACTGGAGGAGCTGGTCCAAGTGGCTGTGGAGAGGGAAGTCTGGGCCTCCTACTTAGGCTGAAACCCACGTGACCTGACCCCAGATAAGCAGCAAAAAATGGATGGATGGTCTCTATAGAAAGATTTAATCAGTTAGCTTTGTAGAGATCTAGTAGAGCGCTGTATGAATGTGTGTGAGGAGGTAAATGAGGGCAAAGATTGTGTTGTAACACAATTTGAGTATCTAGATTAGGTGCTGTATAAGTACTGTTCATTTACTATATATATGGATGAGTAATTTACTTATGTTCTTGTTTAATAAAATACATAGTACAGTATAAACATACATATATACAGTACTGTCCATTTACTATATATATGGATGAATAATTTACTTATGTTCTTGTTT